ATCTTATTAAGGTGGCAGACGTTGCAAGAACAAATGACTGTGTAATGTTTTGTGGGGCCAGGGTGCATGTTGTCAGTGGGGAAAAAAAAGTAATACAGATAACCTCTGTGGATGTTGTGTTTTTCACAGTACACCTATACCAGCTGGACATCACGGTGAAACAGGGGCGTAACAAGGTGCGGGAGATGTTCAAGAAGAATGCCCACGTTACAGACCCACGGGTGATAGACATGCTGGTTATTAAGGTACAAACAAGCTATTCCCTTTTTGTTGAAGCAGCAGAGAATGCGAGAGTGGGTAAATGGTGTGATGGAGGAGAGGGACAGTGTTATTTCAGCTTGCCCTAAGAAGTTGTCTCTTGCAATCCAAATTGATTTCTCTCTGTCAACAAACCTGTTGATAGGGGAGGAACAGGGCCTTAGCTCTCACCTAAGTCAGAGATGCTAGAATGTAGATTTCTGTCACGCAGTGTACTGGCTCTTCCAGATTGCAGATATTTAAAAAAGGAAGTGTATGGCAAGCAAAACAGTGGTTTAAATGCCAAGTTTATTGGTTTGTTGTGGATTTTTGGGTTGGCATTTGTTTTCTTGTTGGGTTAGGATTTGTTGGTTTTGTTTTTAAAAAACAATGGCAAGAAAGTGGGGAAAAGATACTGCTAGCTAGTTTATAATTCAGTATGACCTTTCTACTCCCTGCAGTACTTCCTTATGTTGGGATGTGGTTTTCTTCACCAATTCTGAAACATACATGAGAGTTGCAGAACTTGGTGGGAGGTTGGCTTTGGGTGGCAGAACACCCCACCTTTGTAACACATCTGGTTATGTCTCAGGCCTAAGAGGCCTGCCTGGTTCAAAGCAATAATCAGCATACCGAGAGGAAGGCAAGAGTTCAGAAATTAGATAGATGTGCATGAAAGTTGGGAATGCTATGTAGCATTTTATGGGGGTGCCAGTTATGAGAGAAAAAAAGAGAGGTTCTAAGAAGGTTCCCTTGCTTATTCCACAGGGCTGGGAACCTGCACTGTAGAGACAAGTGACTTGTTAATACAAGACATGAAGCAAGAAAAGCACAAGGCAGGAACAGTGAATATGTTTGTGTCACAGCATAGATGATGCAGGCAGCCTTTAGGAGTACAGAGTTGTTGATGCAGCTATTTCAAGGGTGTTTCTAAGTGCATTCAAATAACTCTCATAATGCTGCATAGTTAGACTTGGGCTCTAACTGAGAACTGATCTAAAATTGTTTTGTCTGTGTGCAGGGAAAAATGGAACTTCAAGAAACCATCCACGTATGGAAGCAGAGGACTCACATCATGAGGTATTTCCACGAGACGGAAACCCCACAACCTAAAGACTTTCTTTCCAAATTCTATGCAGGCCACAATCCCTGAGAGGTCGACTCTATCCTCCTGCCTTGTATTATAAATAAAGTTCTATACAGCAGAAAAAAAATCCATACAGAAAGATTGCATAGCATATTAGGAGCCCAATGACTAACTGAATCCAGTGTGTGTGCAAGTCATTATGATCTGTATGAAGAGCTGTGACTTCCTAGTTTTGCCAGTGTGTATTTTCAGTGGATGGAGTTTGTCCTGTCACTTGCTCTGGAGTGTCTGCTGAGTCAGCAGAACACATCCTGGCTGTGGGGCTTTCTGTTCAGCTTGCAGCCCCATGCATAGGCCTCAGCCCCGTGGAAGAAAGGGCCTTCAGAAAAGCCAGTGTAGTTGCAGAAATATTCTCATGCTTGAGGCCCATCTGTATTCATACAGTGTTTTACAATTTCATGCTATGACATTGTTGACCTTGCATTTTTTACTTGGACATTAGCCTCTGTTTACTTCGTCACGGAGAATGGCATAAAATCCAATAGGCAAATGCAACCCTTTGTGCAATAAAAAGATCAGCAGAGTCAATTTCCCTGCTGTAAAGTGAAATTACCTGGAAAAATGGGGATTTGCACTGTTGCCTATAATAGGGAGGCTCTGTTAGAACTCCTGAAGCCTAGCAGAAGGTGGTGTCCTATCATCACCTTAACTGAATCAGGAATCACTAGCTCTGTTTTGAGGAGGGCAAGGAGAATTTGTTTTTTCACCAGTCAGAGCAGGTTTTCAGGAGGTAACTCAGTGCTGGAGCTCCCCCCTGCATGATCAGCATTGAATCTTTGTAGTACACTCAAACTTCTTTTCATCCATGCCCAAGTACTGGGGCTTTCTTCTCCACCTGAGGCCTGTAAAGCAGCACTCCCCAGGTATGTATACATACGTGTACCTTGGGCCTTTGTATGGCATGTTTTTAAGGACAGCATCGACACAATCAGGAAGGGCCACGAGACATGGTGGGATAAAATAGTGGTAAGGAATTTGGCAGTATAGAAAACAGGAGCAGGGCCATGTTTACCTCACAAGAACAGATGAACTAGAGCAACCAATTCCTAGGTGGTTTTGGCGTATGAAGGGAACAACTCAAACACCAGTGCCTCAAGAACCTGCCAGCTGCCTTCAGCTCTTAGATTACAGTTTACTTTGATTGCAGCCTCCCTTTCTCTCAGTATCTATTGAATTACAGATCAAACATAGAAAGCAGCACCAAGTAAAAAGGGAGCAAATGTACGCTACGCTAATGTGTACAGCATTAAAAGAAACTTTTTACCACTACATGAATACTGATGAGCAGTCCAGAGAAGAGGGCAGGTCTAATGACAGGAAACCATGAGAGAGACACTGTGGTAATGCTGGCTTGGGGAAAAAAAAAAACCCAGAAAACCAAACTCTATTAACCTTTTAAGGTATTTGAGAAAACAGCTGGTCTGATGTGAAGTTACTCTACACATGCCCTAATTGTAGAAAAGACCTTTTGCAGTCTATTAGGCAAGGATTTAATTGCAGTAGTAAATATGGAGAGTTGAAGTTTATACCCTGTTCAGAAAATAAATATTACAGGGCTCATACAGAAATACTGAACTGCTGAGGAAATACTAGGAACTTGGAGCCAGTGTTCAGAAGTTTTCACTGTTCAGAGATTAAATGCTGTATGACATCAGTGAGTGAGTTTGCCACTCGTGATCTTAACCTTTCACCAAACCTACTTAGAACTTTTAATTCTGTGATGGTAATATTGTAGTTAATCCTCAGTGAGGTGAAATTAATGATACAGTCTCCATCAGATAGACCTGCTAGGCTGTAAACCAGCATAAGTTGACCTGCAGTGCCAGTGTCAATATGCACTCCATTCTTTTAATGGGGCTGCTGCTTCCTCTAGGATTCCTGTCACGTACTGTAGATTAGTGCTGAGTTATGGAAAGTACTCTTAGGAAGAAATAAATATGCAGAGAGCATCCTTAGTGGAGCAGATGTAGAGGTAGAAAGGTTGAGACAGAAATGCTCAAGACCAAACACAAAACCAAAGTCATACACCTTAATCTCTTGATCTTTAATTAAGTGTTTCCCATACTGCTAATATAAGGAATCCCAAGCAGTCTCTGCTGAGGTGTGTGTGTGTGTGTGAGGGTGCAGGACCTATCAGGCACTTCCTCCAACCCACATCTACAGATTCTGTCATACAGACGTGCAGGACACTCACTGGCAAAGGGGATAGAGAGCCCCTGTCCCGGTTAGGAAGGACAAAACACAGGTGACATGTTGGAACCATTGCTTTGCTGATGGCTTTCTCCCTTCTGTTCTTCCATGACTCTTCTGCAAATAGAGTAAGACGCTGTTACTCTTCAGATATGCTGTGCTGTACTGTTGTGAACCCCCCCCTGAACCACACAAGTGGGGCTTACATAAAAGGAGTTTCTAACAGGTCACTGCAGCCTTTACAACATTTTCATTCTTTGTTTTTAGCCATGCAGTGTATACTGGAAAATCCCTTTATCGAATACACCAAGCCAGTTATAAAGCAACACTATTTACAACACCTTCTTCAGTCTATAAAGGATCGAATACAAGCAAACTCAAATCTTTACGCAGAGGCAAGCCAAATGGAATAACAAAAGTGTTGGAAAGTGTAGTGCACTGCAGATGAAGATGAATAATTTCTGCTCTTCCTTTATCCAATGAGCCTGAATGGTACAACTACTTCAGTTTGTTCTGATGGGTTCTGGAATACTTGTAAGTTTTTCAGTTCTGTATCAGAACTTCAGACAATAAGTGATTATCTTACTTAAGAGCAGGAATTCTGTGAATTAGCAGAAGACTTTTAAACAGGTAAACATGTAGAACAATATTACAGAATTGTTCAGGTTGGAAAAGATACTTAAGATCATTGAGTCCAACCTCTACCCCAGGACTGCCAAGTCCACCACTAAGCCATGTCACTAAGCATCACAGTTACATGTCTTCTAAATACCTTCAGGGATGGTGATTCAACCACTTCCCTGGGCAGCCTGTTCCAATGCTTGACAAGCCTTTGGGGAAGAAATGTTTCCCAATATCCAGTCTAAACCTCCCTTTGTGCAACTTGAGACCATTTCCTCTTATCCTATCCCTTGTTAAAGGACCAATCCTGACCTCACTACAAACTCCTTTCAGGTACTTGTAAGAGCGATAAGGTGCCCCCTGAGCCTTCTCTTCTCCAGACTGAACACCCCAATTCCCTCAGCCGTTCCTCATCACACTTGTGCTCCAGACCCTTCACCAGCTTCACTGCCCTTCTCTAGACATGTAATAATAAACGAGTCCCCCTTTTTTGTCTGCAGTACAGACTCGCACTGACTACAGTTTACTTCTGATTCAAATGACAAGAGCTAAACCACAATCAGTTTTTTCCGATCTCTACTGAATGTATGTTTTGAGTTCACATTCAGACAGCAGTCTGGCCTACTCTGGTATTAAACAACAGGAAAGTCAGTAGCCAGAGGCAACTCTGTCCGTCCGTTTAACTGCAAATGCATCTTTCAAGCTATGGCTGGCTGTACATCCTACTGTGAGATTGTCCTCCCTGCCCCACACCAAACAGGAAGCATAAACAATCAGATCACTAGTGATGTTAATGATATACCCGTTAATCATCGTCGTCATCATCCTCCGGGACAAAGATGTCATGTTCTTCAAGCAGGGCTGCGAAGTTCTTACTGATCTGAGTGCCAACATACAGGAAAGGGATCACGACGCTGAACACTCTGAGGAGGCCGAAGGGCGTCTGCGAGGGGTCGATTGGAAAAGACCGAGCTTTACCAGCAAGTTGTGCTGTGCCCGAGCCCACACGCTACCGGCGAGCGCGGCTCGCAGCCCCAACGGCGGGTGTTCTATCACCTCCCGCTCAGCGCTGGGGGAAGCAGCGGCCCCGTGAACCCTCCCGCTGGCGAGCGCTTCCGCCTCCGCGCCCCGCCC